AACTCCTCCCTTCCAAACCCCAGCTAAATAATCCAAACATTCCTTCTAAATCCCGTTGTAAACCACTGTCCTGGAGGCTCTGACAGCTGAGTGCCAGCACTGACACTGCCAGGGAGTAACTCTGCACCCCCCGAGGAGGATCAGGACCCCAGACCATGGCAGGGGGAAAAGGAAGGAGGCTGCATTCAAAGCTAATAATTGCCAACTTTGCAGCCCCAGATTAGCAGCCTGATTGCAAAGGTGAGATAACCACGGGTAAAACACTCATGGGGTCATTTTTCAATGTTGTGACTGACAGATACTGAGGATATCAAGGGATAAATCCTGCCCTGGCTGCTCCAGAGTTAACCTGCTGCAGCTCCAGTGGCTCCCAAGGCCCTGCTCCAGCTCCAGCTCAGGGCAGCCAGCACAGCCTGGCTGGCAGCCTGCACAAACAACCAAAAAAAGTCAAGATTTTCATATGTTAAGAAGCCACATAAACTAGTTCTAGCTAATTACAGGGGCCTGGGTGTGAAACAGCAACTGCAAAGCCTCAGGGACCGAGCCAAGGAGCTTTGATTTCTCTCCACAGCTTAGAAAACCTCCTGAAAACTTCTGCTCCAACAGCTTCTCTGCTTTCCTGGAATCCCAGGATGGTTTGGGTGGGAAGGGACCTTAAAGCTCATCCAGTGCCACAGGGACACCTCCCACTATCCCAGGTTGCTCCAACCTGGCCTTGGACACTTCCAGGGATGGGACACCCTCCACTTCATCCTCAGCCTTTGTCTCCCAGCCTGAGGCTGAGCTGGGGTTGCACAGCTGAACCAGCAGCTGTTTCCCAGCAGAAAGCTCATTTAGTGTTGGGTTTTGTGGAATATTCCAGGTTGGAGCAGCTGGAATTGTACCTGCCCCACACACAAACTTCAAAACTTCTCTGGGAGGCTCCCTGGAGTTGAAATATTGAACTGAAAAGTGCCAAGTGCCTGTTCCTGAAGTTCAGTTATTGGGTTGGAATGAGAAACAAAAGTTCTGGAGGCCGTGGGATGAATCTGTGCCTACTCACCATTAAAGTGCAGAGTGGAATCGAAGCTGTCTCTGTAAAAAAAAAAAATCCCTCGAAGGGGAGATATTTGTGTGATGTTTATATGATCCCAGGTGAAATTCAGGAGAGCTCAGCCCTCCTTGGAAGGCAAGACCAGCCAGCTCTGCTCCCTCTCTCTCTCCTGACGTGCCAACACGCCCAGACTGTGAATTTATCCAGCCACATCCACTTTTCCTGCTCCTTCAGCCACAAGTGATGAAATCCCATTCATTTGTGCAAGCAACTGGAAGATTTATTGTAAATAAAGTTCTGCACATTACACAACTGGCTAAAAATCATAATTAGAGCTGCACTGGGGAACATGTTTTATTTATTCTGACAGTAGTCTGGCTCCAATAATCCTCCCGTGATGGATGTCCCGAAAAGTTTGCGGAGTTTCAGCAACTCCAGACCTTATCAGAGCCGTGGAAGTTGGAAATGCCTGACAGGGTTTGATGTGGCTTCTCGAGGTCCCTCACAGTCGTGTTCCACAGCAGCATTTTTAAATCAGCTCCAGGGGCCTGGGAGCTGCTGGGAGTGTCTTTGCTCCCTGTGAACCAAAGGCAGGGAGGTTTTTCCACTGCTGTTACAACTTCCAGGGCTGCAGCACGAGAGCTGGGCCACGTCTGGGTGAATTATCCAGGTTCTAGGATAGGGAGAAGTGACAGTGGGATTGGGAGCCGACAGACCCTTTGGAAAAGGGTCAGTGACACCATTAATAGGATGCAGACATTCCCAATCTCGAGCTGCTCTGCACCCTGCCAAGACTTCCAGGGCTTCCTTTCTAGTTTTAAGCACAATTTCAGGCCCATAAAACATCAGAGAAGACAGGAGTTATTATCCCAGCCCTGACAGGAGTCCCGGGGGGGACAGAGCTCTGACTGCTCCCCACCTGCTCGAGGGCATTTCCAAATGCACCGAATCAGCTTCACCCCCAGAACGTTTATTGCTGCTCTGAGACCCATAAATGACTCCGAGTGCAGTCAGACATTTATCTGGCTTTGCTCATTCCTGAGGAAAAGAGGAGCCCAGTCCACTTGCTCTCCGAGTGGGGCATCCTGGGAAGTGTTTTCTCCCATCACATGGGGAGACCCTCCTCGAGCAGTCAATTGTTGGATCAGCAAAAGCATCAAACCCATTTATTGTCAGAGGAACAGAGAGAGGTTTTGCCCAGGGCCACAACTCCATCCTTCCCAGGGGTCAACCCGAATTTACTATCCCAAATATTTATCATCCACAAGTATTTTAGCCCCTGCTAAATTTAGAGCAGCAGGAATATTTCGGGCTGACTCGACAAAAAAAACAATTATTTACGTTGCTATAAAAAGAACATCCCAGCAACGAAGAGCTGTGGTGCCTCAAGATCCAGAGATTCCCAGCTCCCTTCCCAGCTCCTGCTCCCAGCAGTGCCAGGGAGCAGGGATGTGAATCCCAAAGCCAGTTCCAGAAGGGCTTTGTGTGTCCTCCCACTGCAAAGCCACGGGAATGGACACCCAGCTTACACTTATTTTTGCAAGGTTGACCTTAAAAGTGGGACAAAACACGCTTTTTTTCAAGGATTCTTCTCTTCCCCCCTTTGCCCCCAATGCACACACACGTACCTGAGAAGCCTGGAGTGAGGAATAAAGCTTGGATCCCTCGGGAAGAGATGCCAGGGATGGTTCCATCAGGCGGTTCTCCAGCCGGGATGAGCTGCAGCCCACGGGAAGCACATCCCGAAAAACCCAGGGATGAGAGAACACCCAAAGCACCAACTGCTGCCTCAGGAATCCCCTTGGTGGGAACATTCAAATAAAATAAGGGAGAGTATTTAAGTGCTGTAGAATCACAGAATGCTGGAATGGTACAGGACGGAAGGGACCTTAAAGTTCATCCAGTTCCATCCCAGGGACACCTCCCACTATCCCAGGTTGCTCCAAGCCCTGCCCAACCCAGCCTTGGACACTGCCAGGGATGGGGCAGCCACAGCTTCTCTGGGCAACCTGTGCCAGGGCCTCCCCACCCTCCCAGGGAAGGATTTTGTCCTAAAATCCAACCCAACTCCTCTCTTTCAGGGCGAAGCCCTTGCAGGAAGGCGACGATGACAGAACAACGCGCCTGTAAGAGGATTAAGTTTGTTCTGCAAATAGGAAAGCAAGGAAGAACACTTGCATTTGTTACCAAGCTGAGAAAGCACCGTTGTCATAAACATATGGAAGCATTAAAAAGAAAACCCCATCATTTTGTAACTTTGAAGCCTGACTCAAGCTCCATTTCACCCTCTCAGGGCCTGCTTGTCTCTGCCAAGCCCATTCCTCGTGTTTGTGGCCAGACCAAAGGAACAAAGGAGTGGAATTAACTGCCTGAGAGCCCAAATGCCCACTGACTTCAGCAACAACAAGGACCTTTCATCAGTTTATTATTGGCAAACCAGCAAACAGACGGGAACAGATGAAGTGATGCATCATTTGACCTGAAATTGGGAGCGCAGAGTTCCCCCGCGAGCTCACGTGCCCTCCCCGCGTCCTACCCAGGGGTGCCTCGGCTCCATCATCCCAGAAAAATCTCTTCCAGGGACTCCAAGGTGTGGAGCTCATGCTTCACACAGACCTCTCAATGATTCATCAGCAAACCAGACATTACACGTTGCCACTGAAAGGTTCCAGCCCGGGATTTATTCCCCAGCAGAACGCAACGGCCTCTCTGAGAAGGAGCCTGAGTGCATCCAACTCAAATATGACAGAGATACAAAACAAAGCCCTTGAAACAGAACTCCTGACAAAAGGAGAACCTTTCAATTCATTAATCAAATTAAAGAGGAAAGATGGCTTGGAGGAAAGGGAAGTTCAGGGAGTAACAGTCCTTTGCAAAGAAGACGGGAGTCGTCTTAAAAATGAATCTCTTGAATTAAAACCCCCCCACGACAACAAAACCCTGTTCCACTCAGAATTCCATCATTTTATGGTGCCAGGTGTCTTATTTCCATGGCAAGGAAGAAAACTTTCAAGCTGATGAGCAAGTAGCACCCACCTCCTTCACTGCAGGGAGAGTTTGGCTGAGGGTGTGTTGGTGAGACCAGAAAGGTCCTGACCCACGGACTGCAGGAGCTCTTGGCCTCGTGGGTCAGCCCAGATGGACGATTGCAGAGCTCTTATTGCCAGGGAAGCCAAGTTTTTTGGCAGTTATAAAACCAGATAATCATGCCTGTTTATACATAATCAAGCTTTCAAACATGGCTTTAGTGCTGCAAACTCTGCAGGCCCCGAGGAAGGGAGAATTTCTGGACCAGAGAGTCTGGAGGGGGCGAGGAACTGCAGCGAGATCCAAGCAACGGAGCCCAGAGGTGTGCAGGGCTGAGTATTCCCTTCCTCAGGGAGGAAAAAAAGGGAAAGTCACCTTTGAAAAACGGGAATATGCTTTCACAATCCAAGCACCAGAGCTCTTGTAGCTCCCACCGTCCCTTTTATTGCTTCTGGAGGTCAGCGTGTTACACAGGTTTTGGTTGTTTGGTTTTTTGTCTGCTAAAAAAACCCACAACGAACACAAGGATTTTCCTGTTTGTTTGGTTGGTTTTTGGGAGCTGTTAATAAAAAAAAACAAAACAAAACAAAAAACACCTGATCTCTTTGAAACACCCCAGTGCTGAGTGAACTCCTGAGCTGCCACCGTTTGCAGCGTGGAACGCCCATAAAAATAGAAAAATTTGGCAAAATGCCCCCCCCCCAATGGAAAAAAACCCAGAGAGGAGAGAGAAGAGCCTGCACCCCTCTCCCAATGAAAAAAAACCCGGAGAGGAGAGGGAAGAGCCTTTCCCAGCTGTGACACCTGCTCGGTGTGACCGGCTGGTGAGTGCTGCTGCTCGCCGCGACTCCACGGGAGGAGGAGGAGGAGGGACTCCATGGAGCAGGGCATCCGAGCTGGTTTTCTCCTTCCCTCTCCCCCCCAAAAATGCACATTTGCAGGCAGCAAAGGGCACCACGAGGGCAGCCCGGGGTCGGGGGGGTCACCTCTGGCTGGGCGCCTGCGGCAGGATGACGGGAGCGCAGGCGATCCCGGCGAAGGACTCCGGGAAGTGCAAGTCCCTCTCCCACTCGTCGGTCTCGGTGTTGTAGACCTGCACGATGCTGGTGACGTTGTTCAGGTGCCAGTTGTAGCCCCCCACGATGTAGATCTTCTTCTCCAGCAGGCAGCAGCCGGCCTCCGACTGCCCGGCGCGCATGGGGCTCACCGTGGTCCACTGGTCGGTCTCGGGCACGTAATACTCCACGGCCAGCACGTCGAAGCAACGGTCCACGTGGTCCATGCGCCCGCCCAGGGCGTAAATCCTGCCGTTGGCGCTGACCATGGCGTGCAGCACCCTGGGCTCGTTCATGGGCGTCTTGAACTCCCACTGATCGGCGGCGGGGTCGTAGCAGTGCAGGGCCTTCTTGTCCTCCACGGAGATCCCGTACCCCCCCGAGATGTACAGCCTGTCCCCCGCCGTGGCCCCGGCGTGGCCCCACGTCCTGCGCTTCAGGGAGCACACGTAGGTCCACTCGTTGTCCTTGGGGCAGTACTTCTCCACCGAGGCCAAGCTCCCCGAGCGGTTCCTGCCGCCCGTGGCGTACACCATGCCGCGCAGGACGTTGAGCTGGAACTGGATCCTGCTCTCCTGCATGGCCTGGATGCGCAGCCAGCGGTTGAGGTGCGGGTCGTAGCGGTAGGAGACATCCACGGCGCCCTCCCCGCTGCGGTACTGCAGCTGCTGCCCGCCCACCAGGTAGACGAAGTTGTCCAGCACGGCCACGCAGGAGTGGCTGCTGCCCACCTCCATCTCCGTGAGCTCCTTGAACTGGCGGCCGCCCGCGTCGGGCAGGCAGTAGACCTTGGCGCTGACGGTGCGGTCGTTGTCCGTGTAGGGCGTCCCGCCGAAGGTGACGAGGGACAGCACGTCGGAGCGGATGGCCGTGCGCGGCGACTGCATCTCGTGCTGCCGGAACGGCAGGATCTGGTAGTTGAAGGCCTCCAGCAGGTACTGGCGGCACAGGACGTCCTCCACCATGATGTCCAGGGTCTGCACGCTGTCCACCAGCTCCGAGGACTTCATGAGCGGGAAGCGGATGTGGCACAGGACGCGGCTGGCGCTGGCGCGGCGCGCGGGGTCGTGCTGCAGCCAGCGCACGGCGGCGCGGAACAGGTCGATCTCGCTGCAGCTCTTCAGCTTGTTGCTCTGCAGGAAGAACACCAGGCGCTCCAGGGGCAGGTGGAGGAAATCCTCCTCCTCGGAGATCTGCAGGAAGTGCCTGAAGGTGAAGGCGTCCACAGATTCCTTCAGGGAGGAGAGGCTGAAGGTGGTGGCCATCTGCCCGATGTTGAGGCACGTCTCCACGCTCATGGCGGACTTCAGGAACTCCTCGCAGAGCTCCACGACGGGCACCATCTGGAGGAAGACGGCGGCTCCCAGCACGTCCTGGATGCAGTCGAGATCAAGAGTCACTTCAGCGCTGTAGGCGAAGTCTATGATGTGCTTCAGGCCCTTTGCAGACACACCTTTCAGCTCGATCACATCCTGGCTGGCCTCTCTCATCCCGCCCGTGAACATTGCCCTGGAGGTCAAGAACACAAAGGAAAAAAAACCCCCTTTTAAATAAGTGATGTATCGCTTCGGGATTTTATTTTATTTAACACACTGATTCTTTTAGGGAGGATGAGGAAGGGGAGGGGGGGATAAATCAAGGCTAAACCTCTACAAGCCAGGAGAAATTAGAGTGCAATGGCTTATATAAGGCTTGCAGTGCACCGAGGAGGAATGTTCAGTTATCAGAGAAGTTTTTCAATCCCGCTGGCAGCAGGAGGAAGAGCAGAGCACAGGACAAAGCTGCAAGAAGAGGGAGAGTTCCCAGAGCAGGACACGAACGAGTATCATGAATCCATGACATTCAACAACAGAGGATCCCACGGGATCTGCACCAGCAGAGACTGGGAGTGGTCTGCAGGATTTGTGAGCACAAGGAAGACACCTGTGTCAGGAGGGCAGTGACCCCTGGCAGCAAGGCCCAGATCCATTATCCCATTGTATTGCAGGGAAGTAGGGAATGGCTTAAATATTGCAGGTGCAACACGTCTTACGAACAGCTTTGGCCACCCAACAGAGCCTCCCCTCCAAGGTTCCCTCCCCACACCTTAAAAAGGAGGAGCTGCAGCCCCTCCAGCAGCTCTGTCACGCTGCGGGACGACGGCAGGGGGCTGACAGGGAATCACACAAAAACAGGGAGAGGAGAGCTTGAGTTACAGCACAGCTGCAGGAACATCACTGGACCAGGCCACTGCAGAGATTAGGCCCTGGATCACCTCCTTGGGAGGCTTCTAAATTCCACAGGAAGCACATTCCACGCCAAGGACTGCGCCCACGCCTCCCTGGACCGCCCTGGCAGAGCCGCAGCTCCCGGTGCCGGGGGGAGGCTGGGGGTGTGATGGGGGTGTAGCTGCACATCGAGGGGGGAGGTTTTAGCCATTTCCATCCCGTTTCAGCAGGTTCTGTTAGGCATGGGGGGGCTCAGGGGCAAAGGTTTGCACCCTGGAGTATCCAGCAAGCGGGTTCTGGGGAAGGCAAAGTCAGGGCAGGAAGAGCTGGGCCATGGGGTGTCCCCAGTCCCTGCACACACGTCCCAGCGAGGCCACGTCCTACAAAAGACCTTAAAACTGCACATTTCGGACTGTTTTTTCCACCTTTTCCGCTGGAAAGGTAAATCCGTGGTGTCATCAGAGCCGCCTCGGGAGCTGCACCGGCTCCAAGGTGCAAGTCAGGCAGAAAAAATGCTGAACAGACCCTTCATCAACACAGGAATGAAGGAATATCTTGGGAACGCTGTCAAAAGACGGGAGTTCCAAGTCTCCCGTCCAAACCAGGCTGGAAAACCTGTCCAGCACAAACCCGAGAAATCCTAAATGACCTCAATGAGGAAATATCTGCACACGAAATCAGCTCTTCTGTAACCGAGTGACCAGGAATCCTGTTCCCAATTATTTGCCTGTGCAGCAGATGAGAGCATTCCCTTCAAATCCCTCCAGTCTCCCACGTCCCGGCCCCGATCCCTCGCCCCGGAGGACACACGGACACACGTGTGTGAGCTGAACGTGCAACGAGGAGAGAGGAGAGGAGAGAGTTGTTGTTGTTGCCACCCTGAAGACAAAACCATCCCCTAGAATGCAACTCCCCTCAAAAGTGTTACGGTTCTAAAATGCTGATTATATAAATGCCTCGGTTTCACTCCGCCTTCCCTCCCCCTTCCTGCAGGAAAACAGGAGCGTTTTCCAAGGCTGGATTATTCTGCCGTCGTTCCCCAGGACAACCTTCCTTAGCACCACAGAAGTTACAACAGGAAACCTGCTCAGCAATTATGGTTTAGAGTGAAAACACCTTGGCAGCGGCCCTGCACCCAGCAGGGAGGAATAAAACAGTGCCACTGGCATCTGGGGGGGGGGAGAGCAGCTCCAGGATTAATTGTGGGCCTCGTCTGGGGAGAGAGAGAAGCTCGGGAGGTTTATGGTCCCAAAGGGAGACAGAAGGGAACGGCCCAGAAAATGGGTGTGAACACAAGACAGACACCATCAGAGGAGCTGAGATGGACAAAGGGATACCAGAGAGGTGCCAAGGGACAGGGAAGTCCCTTGGTCTTGTTTACCTGCTCAGCAAACCAGTCTGGAAGGCTCCTACAGGGCAAGGGGTTGGAAGGGACCTGAGTGTCACAGGGCTGCAAACCCCGTTGGACAGCCCTTGTCCACCCCTCCTGCAGCCTGGAACAACACCCAGCTGGGGTTCTGAGCCTTCCCCACCCCCAGTGCCTCCAGCACATCCCTCACCTCACCCTGGTGCTGCCCAAAAGGATCCCCAATTCCAAGTCATTCCGAGTCACAGAGACATTACCAAAGAGCCTGACAGAGAGAGGCATGTGAGGAGCAGCTGAGGGAGCTGGGGGGGCTCAGCCTGGAGAAAAGGAGGCTCAGGGGGGACCTTCTGGCTCTGCAACTCCTTGACAGGAGGGGGGAGCTGGGGGGGGTCAGGCTCTGCTCCCAGGGAACAAGGGACAGGACAAAGGGAAAGGGCCTCAAGCTGTGCCAGGGGAGGGTCAGGTTGGACATCAGGAGGAATTTCTCCATGGAAAGGGTGCTCAGGCATTGGAAGGGGCTGCCCACGGAGGTGGTGGAGTCCCCACCCCTGGAGGTGTCCAAGGAACCCCTGGATGTGGCACTCAGTGCTCTGGGGCACAAGGTGGGGGTCGGGCACAGTTCCAAGTTTCTGTGATCTTGGAGGTCTTTTCCAGCCTCAGTGATTCCACGATTCTGTGACAGAGGCAAGATGGATAAATACGTATTTTCACTTCGGAGTGAATTCCCTGCTCACTCTGCATTGATTTGGCCACAAAAACTTATCTCAGGGCTTCAGTTTTCAACCCACACGAGCTGGGACGACGCTCCCAGATCTCCTGGGGAGGTCACACCCACTCCCTGGTGCTCCCAGAGCCCCAAGCACTGCAGACACATCAGTGGTGGTTAAAGAGAACAGGAGTGTGTTTACAGTGGGCATCTCACTCCATGGGCTGGGTCATTTTGGAGCCCTCACTTCCCAGTCAGCTCAAGTAGCTCCAGGACAACACGACACCTGCCCAGGTGGGTTCAAGACCTGGCCTTGAACTTGTGCCTTGGCCTAGCAGCTGTAGTTGAGCAAACCTCATCTGTGTGCAGAGGGACTGATCCTGAACCTCTACCTGCCTGCAGGGAATCCCTGGGGCAAACCAAACCTGGTTCTGCGGGGCGGGATTTTTGGGAAGGTCGGGGTGGGGGAGGACAGGGAAACAGCAAACCAACGGGAAAGGTACAAATGCCTGCTTCCCTATCAGATTCTCACCTGAAATAGTCACTGCAGGCAGCCAAGACAACTTTATGAACCTGAAACACTTCATTATTTATAGTGAGGATGACATCAAGCAGCTGAGCCTGAGCTCGGAGCGAGGCCAGTCCCTGCAGCAGAGTGGTGCTGTGGCCAGGAGCAGAGAACGTGCATTTCAGGGTGCTGTTCTTGTCAGCCATGCTAAAAACAGAACAAGAGAGACAGGCTGGTGTGAAATGAAAACAGTATGTGGCATTACCTACCCAGTGTGCCGGGGGAGGCACCGCGGCGGGAGCCGCTCGGGACGTGAATTCCCGGCCCGGCAGCCACGCGTGGGACAGCGGGACAGCAGCACCTCACGGTGGGTCCCTTTCTCCCAGCACCAAAGAGACTTCCAGATGTTTGAGGGATGCTTTGGCACTGCCCACACCCCGGCCCTGCAGCACACCAGGGGCCACCCAGCCATCCCGTGGGGCCGGAACCACCGCGGGACGTCGGTGTCCCCGCGCTGAGCCCGCCCTGACCTCGCCTTCACCCACGACACTGAGTCACAGTTGCTTGTTCTTCTCACCACCTTCCCTTCCTGCAGCTGCTGGAGCTGCTGCCGCGGCCAAGGCCGGCCCTGCCAGCCCGGTTTGATCCTTCCCTTCTGCCTGACCCTCAGGAGAAGAGCGAAAGCGAACTATTGCACAGCCCTGGCTGCTGTAAATAACATCAACTGCTCGAGCTGCGCTGTCAACAGTCCCCTCCCAGCGTAAATATTTCCTTGCTTTTCCCAACGCCTCTCGCACATGTTCCCCAGCACAGGGAGCATCATCCCGAGCTCCGCTTGGCCTCAGATGCACTTGTCAGCGGGGACGCCGCGTTCGGAGGCAGCAGGAGCCCTGCACAAGTGGAAGAGGCCGTTGGATGCTCTGTGCTCCTCTGGAAACAACTCCAGGAACAGCTGCAGGTTCCCCGAGCCCCACCAAACTGGCACCGGCAGAGGTGGGGGAATCCCAAACTCATCCGCAAATTTAATCCAACTCCAAAGGGCTTTTCAAGATCTTCCCTCCCGGGAAGAAAATATGCCCAGGGGCCAATGTTCAGGATGGGGTTTATGTTTTTAGAAGCGTCCTGATGTTTGGTGTCTGCCTTTCAAGGGGTATTTTATGGAAACGGGATATAAAAAAATCCCAAGGAGATTATCCCGAGTCTGGAAAGCTGCACGAGTTGCTCCCAAAGCCACAGTGGGAGAGCACAGTCAGGGCTGCACTTAAAGGGTATTATTATTATTATTGTTATTTAGGTGGAATAAACCCATGAAGCAAAGAAGTGAGTAGGATGCAGCGTGCTGGGGCTGTGTAATTCCAGGGTCTGCTCCAACCCTCCCTCAGAGCTCGGCTGCATAATCCCGGTTTTGCTCCAACCCCCCCCCTCAGATCTTGGCTATATAATCCCAGGGCCTGCTCCAACCCTCCCTCAGAGTTTGGATGTGCAATCCCGGGGTCTGCTCCAACCCTCCCTCAGAGTTTGGATGTGCAATCCCGGGGTCTGCTCCAACCCTCAGAGCTCCCGACCAAAACAGCAACAGCCACTGCACAATGGCCCAAACAAACCCGGCGGGGTCAGGGAGGAGTCAGGGAGATGGGATAACGAAAAAGGGGGATGTAAACAATCCTCAAACAATAAGGAACAATGGACAGGGCTCGCTCCTTGCCTAACTTATCGGATTGCAATTTCCTGGAAGCTTTAAGGAGAGGCGAGCGAGGGGAAATCTGGGATGTTCATCAGAGCTGGGAGGGCAGCGCTCTGTGCCTGCAGCGGCTCTGGAGCTCGCTGGGATGCAGAGAGCAAACCTTGGCAGGCTGGTTCCAACTCCTCAGGCTTGGGAACGTGCCTCAGAATCCATCCGAGTTCCTTCTGGGATGGCTGATAATGGTCAGCTGTGCTTCTGGTAGCACAGGTCCGAAATCCCTCCCCTAAAATCAAAGTGTGCTAAAGAGTCCTGGATCAGAGCGTGGAGTATTCCTTGCTGGAATAAAAAGGATTAGCAAAAAAAGCAGTTGTTGACAAGACCTTTATCCATAGTCTGTGAGCCAAGAATTGTCTGTCCACTCGGGCTCTTCCCATGGAGAAAGAGGGAAGAGCTTGGAGGGAGCGGATCCGCATCGTGTCAAACTCCTCTCGCTCTCCTCCCTGGAACTTTGCTCTGCTGCAGGTGAAAGGAGGAAACATCCCCCACCAGCAAGGAAATGATGTTCCCTCTGGACACAGAGCACCAGACACGGAGCAAACCCACTCTGCTCCAGGTTGGACAGGTGAGATCCACCCAGACAGATCCAGGGATTCATCTGGGAATGGCAGCTCCTGAGTTCACTGGGACTTCATCAGATTCCACCTCCTGCAAAAGTCCTCTCAGGGGAATCCCCTTCAGTGCTGGTTTTTATGCTGGTTTCAGATATTCCTTTTCCCAGCCTTAGGGTTTCATCCCTCCAGGAATGCTGTCACTGGATCCACAGCCCTCCCAGAGCAGGTTCCAACCACAAGCTTTACCTGCACAAATATTCCCTTTTTTTCCTCTTCCTCAATTAACTTTTACAGGCATCGTGAGCGACCAGAGTGCAAGTCTGAAGTAAAGGAGGGGTGGCTTGGTACATCTGTGTGGAATAAACGTGTTTGCCCGTGAGATTCATTTCAATAGGTAACTGTGAACAGCTACTCCAGGAAAAACTCCCTGTACTAGTTCCTTTGTCTATTTACAGATAGAAAATAAAAGGATCCGATGATTACACAATACTCTGAAGGGGGGAAAAAAGGAAATCAAAAGAGAAGCATTGATAATGCTCAGTTTTCTTCAGCAAAAAAAGGGGATTTTTCAGATGAACAACATAAGCTGGAAACAAAACAAAAACCACACGAAGCACGAGAAACAGAGTGAGGGATTTACAGAAAACAGAGCAGGAGGAGGAGAGGTGAGAGAACAGCAACGAGCAGTGTTTGCACTGCGGGGAGAAAAAAGGGATTTGTGATAAGAGCAGGCTCGGCTGGACACAGGCAGGGCAGGGAAGGAGTGTGGATCCACAGCCTTGGCTCCCACTCCTGCACGGAGGGAGAAGGGGAGCAGCAGTTGGATGTCAGAGAGTGAAAAAAAAAAAGCCAACCAAAAACAAAAGGAAGCCTTGAACGTGCCTCTGTGAGGCTGCCCCTGTCCCAGCCCGGATCTCACCAGCCCCTGGACTTGTTGCTTCACAGTTTGTTAGAGCAGGAACTGCCTCACAGACAAAACCTGGGAAGAGCTGCATCTTCTCCTCCCTTCGGAGGAGATAAAAGGCTTTCATCACACACCAGTGAGAAAGTGTTTATTCCGCTTCCCTTTCCGAGGGAGGCAGGGCTGGAGAGCCTCCGGAATTTTCCTTGGAATTTTCCTTGGTCGGGTGTCTTTGTCCTTGAGTGGAGGTCCTTCCCCTGCCCCGGGGGTTTGTGTGGCCAGAGCATCCTTCAGCAGGGCCTCAGCACAGCCAGCTTGGAGCAGGGTCAAGCGTGTGGCTGCTCCCAAATTTATCCATCGGAAAAATGTAAACCACCCAAAAAAAAAAAAAAGAAAATAATAAAATAAAAATCACATCCACATCAAGGTCCCAGGGGCCTCCCAGCAATCCCAACGTGTTTACATGACTGGGGCCTCTGACACGAGTTATGTTGGTATAAAGGTGGCTTTGCAGGAACAGAAATCCCACTTTCCACATGGAAATAGCTGCAGCAGTGAAAGGGATCTTTATATCCATTGCACACAAGGCAGCTGGAATTCAACAGGCACCTTGATTCCCAAGGTGGTGCCTTTTGGGCAGCAGCCTCAGAGGCTCTGATAACATCCCTGGTACCCCAGTTCCACACAGGGACTGCCAGGGAACAAGTAATGGGATTGAGGATTTGCCTCCAAGCCGCTGCTCTGAAGCCAGATTGCTTTCAATCCTCTCCGGTCACTGCAGGATAGAGCTCAGCATGGGGTGCTGTGGGGAAAAGCAACCCAGAACCCCAACCCCAGCACTGCAGGTGTTCCAGCAAGGGTTAAGGGAGTGGTTGCAGCCAGACAGCGGGCAGGGAAGGCAAACAAGCCCTGAAATCCTCCTGCTGCTGCACCCAGGGCAGGAGCTCGGCCCGTGCTCGCCCTCGCCCCGAGCACACTGACCACAGGCAGCTCTCTGAGCAAGGACTGCTCCACTTCTCACCAGGAAGGCATCCGGACACCCAAGGGGCCTCTGGAGCTGAGGGGCTGGGAGATTTGAAGGGCCACACTTCAGGAACCAGAGAACACCCCAAAGAACAAGTGGCCCCTGCCGCTGCCTCCCCCGTTCCCCGGCGGCGTCACGTGGAACCCGAGATGCGTTCGGAGCTAATGAATCATTTTTTTACCAAATCTGTGCTGATGATTAAAAACATCAAAGCTGGAATTAAAGGCTTTACCAAGGCATGAGTTCATATTTCAGCAGTGTTTGCAACCGCTGCACAAGTGGAGAGAATTAGAGCAGGACAGATTGTAACATTTCAGCGATCGAATTAAGGAAGGGGAAAAAAAATCTGTCTGGTCGTGTTCTTCCTCTTCTTGTGGTTCTCCTCGGAAGGAGGGGTAGTTTGGTGCTCTCTGTCCCAGCTCAACATCCCCACGTCTTTCCCCCTTTTTGGGGGCAGGTGGTGCTCGGTAATTTTTCATCCAGGACAAACTGGAGGGGGGTTGGCAGCATTCCCGAGCAGGGCAAACTTCCAAGAGCCCGAACTCTTCCCATAAACACGAGCTCCAGAGGTGGGACCCCCGCGGGGAACGGCTGGGGGACAACACAGGAAGGAGGAAAACCAGCAGAATATGTGTGTGTGTGTTCACATCCATCAGGGTATGGAATGGCACAGCTTTTCCAAGCTTTGGGATTATTGCAAAAGAGCCACCGAGGCACCTGCAAGGAATTTTTTTTGTGTGGTGAGAGAAGCAGAACTACCACAAAGCTGGAGAGCAACTTTATTTAGAACATGAAGCATGAATATTAAGGACCTTCTCTAAGAACCTTTGACAGGCAGCATTATAGATATTTTAATAATGCAAATCATTTAATGCCTTTAGTTTCATGCCGAAGTAAAAAAAAAAACACATTTAGATTCTGATTTTTAAACTACAATTAAGACACTTAAAATCAAAACAAAAGTCAAACTCCCTCAGATAAGTCACTGGTAGCCATGGTGACTGTAATATTTCAGATCCTGAGGCTTTATATCACATGCCCAGAGGATGAAAATGAGTTTTCAGCACTTCACACTAACAAATGCTACGTTAGGGCAGAGAGGCTGAACCTTTCACTGCGGATTTGAGACTCTTTGTGGGACTTTTGGACACTCCCATGGCCTTTGTACCCTCTCAACCCCTAAAAAGAGGCATCCAGAGGTTTCCTGGAAGTTTGGGGGCAAGGAAGACGAGGCGCTGCCAGGCCCTGAGGCACAAAAATACCTGCCCTGTTAACCTACTTCTGCTCCCAGCAGCAAGGTTGTCACCAGCACCCATCAGCCACAGCATTTCCCAGCACTTCCCTGTCCAAATTAGCAACCACAGCGAGCACTTAATGATCAGCAACTAATTAAATATTAACACACCCGACGAAGGGGATGTTTCCCAGAGAAACAGAATCATCCTCAGGAAAGATCCGCGAGAATAAAAAGGCATTTAATCGATTTCTTTGTTCCCTTTTCCACCTCCTTCCCTTAATTTCTCCTGTTTCTCTCCTCTGCCTCCACTCATTTTCCACTCCTGACACCACCTCTTTCATCCAAGCAATAAATACAAGTAGAAAGCCCAAGACTAATAATGCTATTGAAAAGTGGCAATTTGGAGCGCTCAAATAAAAGGGATTATAAATGGGCCTGAGCTTCAGAAGGAGCAACACTTTGTGTGGAAATAATGGGCTTCTGGAAAATGCCTCGAGTCGAATAATAATAACAATAATAAAAAAGTTTGAAAAGTCTCCAGATTTTAAGGAAACTTCACGTTTTGCAAGGGGGGAACGAGTAACGTTCGCTGTTTAAAACAAGGAAAATGGCAAAGCCCAACAGACTGAGCTTTTTTTAGTTTGCATTTCAGGGCCTGAAAACAGCACTTCAAGATGTCAGGAGGTACCTGGTTCTTTTGAAAGTGCTTTCTGACTCTGCTTTCCTTATCTGCATCCGACTTCTCCCAAGCTGGACCCAAAGAAACCCTGCAGCCCAAAGGTAAGGCAGCGAGTTGTAGCAAGAGGGCTTTTCAATTTATTTATTTTTCAAATGTTATTTTTTTTTAATACCCTTAGAAGCCCCAGACACTTGCAAATCTAGGTTTTTCCTTTCCTTCAGAGCTGGACTCGCACAGGGCCCAGCAGACACACACACACACACACACATGAATATATTCTGCTCCCAAGCATCAATCAGTAGGTTGTTTGCAAGCCAAAGGAGGTGGGATTTTTTGGGTTTTGCACTAATAAAACTGGATGGCTGTCAAAAAGCTGGCTGGCCTGGTAAAACAGAGCTGTTGGAGCAACAAAAAAAAAAAAGCAGAGGGTGAAAGATGTGAACACATTAAACTCCGTGCCACCTCCCAGGGACTGGGCAGTACGTGCTGTACCCAGGACAGATTGTGTAGGAGGGGGGCAAAAACCAGCATTAAAAAAAAAAATAAGATTTTTAAACTGTTTCTGTGGCAGAGCCAGAGTCTGTGGTCATCTTTATGCTGGGGAAAAGCAGTTTGGGGCTGGTTGTTTGCCACCCAGGTGAGGGCTCAGGTGAGGGCACCAGCAGCACCAGGGGCTTGGAGGGGCACAAAATATCACATTTACCAGGGTTTGCCATTTCTCTTCTCTCTACCCATATCCAGAGGTACCACAGAGGACTTTGTCCTGTACAGGGATTCTCCTCAGTCCTGCCCTAAACCTCCTGTGAGCTCTGAGCGCGGAGCAGGCGCCGGTGACACCCCTGTCACCAACACCCTGCCCTGCCACACCTTCAACCTGCCCTCCTCACAGCGACCCAGGACGGCAGGACACTCCCCACCCCCCAAAC